TTTCGCAGCGCCCAGAGTATACGTATAATATGATTCCGCGTATGTGTTCATAACAGTTGCACATATCGAGTAAAAAGACAAATTGTCTCCGCGATTATAGGCGATCTTGGAGGGGGAGCTTTAAATCGCTGCTGGTCTCCTCCCACACACACACACACAGAAACAAACAAACAAAGCTTTTACGCCACAGAAACGAATGGACTGGAGGCAATATTGCGGACACCCGGGCAAAGTTGAGGAAGCGGCTGCCCAACGGTAATCAGCAAAAAAGAAAGAAAAGCCTTTGCGAGTTTAATTGGTGATGACTATGTTGATAGCATGGCTTTGGAATCTTGGTTGGTCACATGACTTTTAATCGCAAATATCCTCTTACGCAAGAACGATGTGTTATAATTGGCCAGCCAATCGCGAAACGAAGCGAAATAACTAAAGCACAGACCACGAGAAAACATTTCTCGCGAACACTACGGCGTCTCTCATAATCATATAGTGGTTTTGGGACGTTAAACCCCACAAATCAAAACATCAACATTTCTCGCGAAAGAGCCATCCCGTAAACCCGGCCACTTGGATTGATATATATAGGAACTGTTCTCAAGGTCTCTTGTAAGCCCGTTGTGTTGTTGGCTTTATTATTATTATTATTATTATTATTATTATTATTATTATTATTATTAGACAGAGAGATGTCAAAGATCAAAGCCAAGGCGAAGCAGCCCCCTTGAATAAGCAGCCATATTCACAAAAAATTTTCGTGAGCTCATCCGTAACTACACATAGCTTGTCATATTCGCCATTGTTATGCTCCCTGTTGGTCGGTATTCAGAAGAAAAAAACTAAGTAAGCCAGAATTGCTTCTAGGAGAAAATTTCGGCCAATTAGACCTGATGTCGTAAACATAATTAAAGAAAATCGTCTGACCATCGATATAGAAGAGCATTTAGGAGCATAAAGTTTTGCCATTTCCGCCGCCTATTTTTGTTGACGAACCACTCGAGCGCACACGTTAACGGGCCTATATGCTCCTCATTTCACTGAGTTTCTCGTTTCCAAGAAAGCTCCCCTAAATGACCAGCCGTCTTTGAAAGTGTGCTTGCAGTCGCGATTTACCAGCGCCCATTCTTGCGAAGGCACGTTGCGCGCACATATGCACACACCGAGTTCCGCGTCTTATTAGACGTTTGGGAAAACAGGACGAATGAGCGCGCGCGAGAAAGTGCGGCAACGGCAAAAAACAAGCGTTAGTCACGCCGGCGCATACGGCAACCAGTTCCTCCATACTTCTCGTCGTTGCGCAAAGGGGGACGGAAACAACTGCATATGGTGGGCTATATTCACTCGATTGCGCGAAATACTTTGGGTGCATGCACGCTACAGAACCCCAGGTGCTCGAAATTTCCGGAGCCCTCCACTACGGCGTCTCTCATAATCATGTGGTGGTTTTGGGCCGTTAAACCCCCACATATCAACCAAATCAGCGCGGAATACTAATCAATAGGCACCTGGAAGCAAATGACTGATTCATTGCTCGTTCACCACCGCTTCATACATCTATTCGTGCTCATGTTATGACAAAATATTTACCTGTATAAGGCAGGTACCTTGTCATAACATGAGCAGGAATATTTTTGTGTGTAAGGGGTCTCCAAGGGGCTCTTGAGGCATGTGTACACGATCGGAGTGCCAATGACATCCCCATGTACAGTTTAGATAGACAATGCTAATCTCGCTCTTCTTTCGTTTCAGGGGCATGACTGGGGGTTTTAGCCGTCATCTATATGGCTCCCGGCAGCAATTTGAGTACCGGAGAGTGCTATCATGCTCAAGTTCCTGGAGTATTTCAAAGAGCGAGCGCGACAAGCGTACAACAGCTGCCTCCGTCCATCCACGACAGTGGCTGTTCGTCTTATCTGTCTGCCTTAAAAGCTATCCGCGAGCACATGGCGACGACAGATAAACGAGGCGCCTAAGGGCACGACCGGCGACTTCAAGGCGGCTGATAACACAAGTGTGAAGGGATGTACAGGAAGCCCACGCTGTGGTGGGTTCTTGCTCCTCCAGATACACTGTAGCCGCGATCAGCTGTCAACAGAGCCGCGAAAAGAAGTGCCGTCGGGGCAATTCCGCTCGGATGTTTTTTACACCCCACAAACCCTATACGGTTGGTCTGTATACAGTTCCAGCGAACACCTCAGCTCCCAGCTTGATTCGATCTTACAGCTTACGAAAGAACCGCTGCCAAAACAGACCGCCTGCGCTCCAGGCCATGCGAAACATCCAGCAGGGTATACTTATTGATCTGCAGTTGGTGAGAAAGTGATTCGATATGACCTTCCCTCACATTATTCTTTAGAAACTACCTTAGTTCACATCATGGCATTGCCACACACACAATTCAAGTATACGCATATGCTCGATGTCACGTAAGGTGGTCGAAATTTCCGGAGCCCTCCACTACGGCGTCTCTCATAATCATATGGTGGTTTTGGGACGTTAAACCCCACATATCATCATCATCGATGTCACGTGTGTATACTGCTTCATGCGTGCCCAAGGTTATTACTTTTAACTGATCTTTGCCCACATGGCCGCAGGCAAACAGACCGTCGTAACGCGCTTTCGGGCGTGCGGACCACACGCGCCGATGCAATGTGCGTCTCGCGCGCCCTCTGCAAAGGGGCGGTTGCGAAAGGCCGTGCCATCCAGTAAGCATGCATGTGGGCATTGCGGCACAAGGCGCGGAAGCCCATATTCCCAATGATTCGAAACAATCTCTTCCGCGCGGGGCTGGCCGGCAAACACAGTTTGCAAAAAACAAGGCGCGCGAAACATTAGCGGGCCCGCATCATGTGCACTTGTACAATGTACGCGCGTTCACCGGGCGCTCCGATGCTCGCAAACGACTGCAACGCCTTAAACAAACGGGGTCGCGGTAGCCGCGAAGTGCGTAACTGAGCTGCCGAACGGAGGCCCCCTCACCGAATAAACGGCGGGTAGTCTCATTGTTCGTTTTGTTTTGTTTTATAACGACCGTCCCCCGCCGAGCGTGAAATACTTTAACGCCAGGGGGAAACAGTGTGTTGAAAGCGCCATTAAGTTGCTCGGGGGACCGCCTTTGTGAAGCCGCCCGCTGAAAGGCAGCAAGCACACGAGGTTCACCGTGGGGAACAGTGACGACACCGAATGTGATAAAGTGTGTAGAATACAAAGGTTGGACCAAAGAGGCTTCGCGGTGGTTTATGAGCTCTCCTAACCGATGTTGCAGAAGTGGCACGATAATATTAAAGCACGAGCCGGAGAGTGTCCTTTGTTCGTCAGGGGTCAAGTAATCACGTCCGGTGCAGCTTCACTGACAATACCAGGCCGTCGAGGTCAGACGCACTGACAGAGCCAGCATTCGGCTGCACTGAAAGGTATATCCGTGGTAGTACAAACCACGTTTCACATCACCAGAAAAGTACTATGCAAGTGTCCTCCCAACGTTTCCCGATATGAGCAAGATCCTTGCACAACGTTCACGCTAAAGCAACACGTGAACTACCCAATCGAAAGGAGACACGCGCTGTCCCATGTGATCGTCCCAGCAGAAAACATTCAGACGTGGCATCCACAAAGAAACCGAACTCAAGGCGCGCTCGTGGTAAGCAACGTCACGCAGCAAGCGGCTATCTGCCACGAGTGCAAAGTTCGCAGCAGTGGGTCAGCTCTTCGCGCCAACTTAAGCGGAAGAGTTCACTAGCCTGGAGCTGCTGGTGCAAACGGATATCGCCACATTGCACGTGCGATGAGTAATGAGTAAACACGCATGTAAATGAAGATACTAAAAAATACGTATATCAAGCCCGATTAGCTTACAATATTGGGCAAATACGAGATAAAATCGCGATGACCCGTTATCTCATCTGCGACGAACTGTCAAGAAAGTTATATCAAGTAGTTATGTCAAGTAATTTTTTCTTTTTCGGGTACTTGAAGAGGCATGCTCACATCACGTTCACTTTAGCTGCGAGATTTTCAGGCCGTTGTCTACTTAGCACCCGCTTCACCTTATAGGCGTGATAAACAACCATGGCTAAACCTTCGGCGCAAACAAACATCAATTGTGAAGCGACACAAACAAAAAAGGAAAAAAAAAGGAGTGCTCTAAAGAAAAAAAAAATCTCGGGTGGACTCTACGGAACCAAAGAAATAAGAGCCAGACGCGTCGAGGAAGCCAGCCGCAGGCTTTTGTCCTTGAAGTAGCATCCGACCTTATCCTGCCCCTTGGGAATGCTAGCTTGGGGAAGCCATGCCAGCCGGCGGCGTCAAGGGTGGAACTCCTCCGCGGCGCCTGCCTGGCGTCCCCTCCCGAACATTAGGGGGAAGCGTGGGGGACGGCGAAGGAGGCGGTCGCGCCAAAGCAAACACAGCTCGCTCTCAACGCGACAAGCAGCACCGGGCGCAAGTAGACTTGGGAGATTTAAGAGAAAAAAAAAACAAGAAACCACGCAGCCTTTTGCCTTTCTTATCAGAGTCAGTTGAGAGACCGCACGTTTCTTTACAAGCAAGTGCAGTAACAATTCTGTCATATCGACGGTGCACGTTTCATATGCATATGGGTACCACGCAAGTTGCGCGGACCTTTGAACTCTATTCGATTTGAGTTTAGACTGCGAGAGGCGAGAGCTGATAAAGCACGGCCGAAGGGGATATGCGGCTCAGTGCAGCAGCATATGCGCTGGGAGACGAGAATGTGGTTGCAAGCGTACTAAATCGACCGTGAACAACTGCAACATGCACAAACTGAGGGGTTCAACAGAAATTAGCACACGAGATTATGCTCCGGAGGCGCTTAGTTATACGCCTCCAGAGCACTCGGCGCTGACAGCCCAAACGCAGTCCGAAAGCACGTGCGCCGAAGCTATCAAGCCGCAGGCCGTTCCGGTGCATTTATGCGTTCGTGCTGCACCACTGAAAGAATGGCATGCACTGGACTCCAAGGAGGGTGGCGGCAAACTGACCTTCCTGGGCGGCAGCGCCTCGTGCAGACTGCTCGTGCTCGATGACCGCGACGACAGCTGCTCGGCGCCTCCACTGCCGAAGCTCACGCTGCTGTTGAGGCTCAGCGCATCGTTGGCTTGCGGCTTGATGCAGCGGAACGGAGACAGGGTTGTTGTTGACGAGTGTACGTGCTTGAGCATGGTGCAGACACAACGTAGTTATCCTCTACCAGTCCCGCGGCACTGACGAGGCGACAGCGCGCGGTCCGACCTCCACCAGCGCCAGACCTCACTACGACTGCCGGCCGATCGGCGCTCGCGCGGAGGCCGGCCCGTCCCACGAAGAAGGCGCGTCGTGTTGTGACGTCACGGTGGGTAACTTTTTCCATTGGGTAAGGAGACGACGCGTGCTGGTGACGTCACCGAGCGCTTGCTCGTTTCAGATCCGTCGGCCGCGCCGAACACCGCACGTCGCTCTCACTTCTGCCGGAGCATCGAGCGTGCTGTCATCACCAGCGGAGAAGGATGACTCAGGAGCGACCAGGAAAACTCGATAGCCCGTCGATGCCTCGATCCACTTCTCGCTTCTCTCCGCTGTGATCGTTACGTGGAGCACCTGGCACTGACTCGGCGGGTGTTTTCGAGGGACCGAGCATACTCACAAATCAACAGGCCGCGTCACCGAGACGTCCCTTGTTCGCTTCTTTCTTTGTTTTGTTCTGTTTACTATCGTTCCTCGTATACGCACTTTCGTTGCCCAACGTAGAGCCGTGCATTAATTTCGATGATGACGACCAAGTAGATCACAAATGCAGAACTTTATTGCCGTTTTATTAAGACCCGGTCAATCGCGTCGAAAGAAGTCCCCTACGAGCGTAGTGATGTGCAATTGAATTATGCTCGTTCAGCATGCAGCAAATGTTAAAAACCAATAGCAGCAAGGCCATTAATAGTGTGCATATACCCAAACCTAAACCAGATCCAACATCGACCTTAATATGTATATATTATTCCATATGCCGATAGGAGCAGCCCACTTTCAATAACAATAATAAAAGGTTGCTGCGAATTTCGGCACATCAAATTATGTTTCCAAGTAAAAAAGAAATCAATCTTCAACAAAAAGTGTAAGAGACGTAACCTGATAAGTCACTTCCTGCGCGATGGTCCTTGCGACACAATCGCTGGTTTCTGTCGAGTTCACACATTTAATTCGAGAAATGCGGTGTCTCGGTCGTGCTCGCGCACAATAGAGCCGGTAGCCCGTGCAGAACTTTTTATAAGGTAACTGGTACGCTTGAGCTGGTTGATCAATGGATAGATTTTAATTCATTTTTATACCACCACCTCTCACATGATTAGCATACAGAGTGTTTGAGTGAACTTGCGCCAAGCATGTTTTTTTTTTTCTAGTTCGCGCGTTCTAAGAAAATTCGAGGAAAAAAAAAACAAATTATTTTGGCATACGCGGGATCGAATACCGGGCGCGGGGGCCGCATTTTCGATGGAGGCGAAAATGCTGTAGGCTAGTGTGCTTAGATTTAGGTGCACGTTAAAAAGAACTCCAGGTTGTCGAACATTCCGGAACCCTCCACTACAGCGTCTGTCATAATCATATGGTTAGATTTGGACGATAAACATAAACTATTAATAATAATAATAATAATGTTATTATTACTTCTTTTTTTTCAACTGAACAGTTGTCAACAAATGTATCGGTCTGTGGGCGTGGCTAAGGTGCTCGGCTGCTAACCCGCAGGTCGCAGGATCAAATCCCGGCTGCGGCGGCTGCATTTCCGATGGAGGAGGAAACGTTGTAGGCCCGTGTGCTCAAATTTGGGCGCACGTTAAAGAACCCCAGGTGGTCTAAATTTCCGGAGCCCTCCACTACAGCGTCTCTCATAATCATATGGTGGTTTTGGGACGTTAAACCCCGCATATCAATCAATCATTTAGTGAACTGCACGAACAGTTTAAGTGAGACACACCCACAAGCCAATGACTCCGGTCGACCTGTTGGCTTCACACGAGATTTAATCCCCTCCTCTGAAGCAATGCGAAACGTTCCAGAGAACTTGACAGCTGTTAGCTAAAACAATAGGCCAGACGAAGCCAGCGAACTCATTTTCGATATTATTATTATTATTATTATTATTATTATTATTATTATTATATTATTATTATTATTATTATTATTATTATTATTATAAATGTTCCTTGTAATGCGAAGAAGCAGCTAGTACTTACATTGAGCTTTTTGATCATTATTACACACGAAACGCGTAAAACTCCTACGTACGTCCGATAAGTTCCATAATTAGCTCCAGTTTCGTAACCTTCAAGGACATCGAAACCACCTTGAGCAATGTGAGAACCGTTATTCGGTATATTCGTAGAGAGCGCAGACCAGGCAGTAATCGTTGTTATTGATAAAGTATTTGTGAGCGAATTCCTCGTGCACCTAGCAGCGCAGCTGAGTAAATTAAACGCGGACAGCCAGCATTGTTATTCGTTCAGTGTTGATCTTCGGTCCCGCCGCGGCGGTTTCATGGTTGACACTATATGCTGCAGAGAGTAAGGTGTTGGCTTTGACCCCCCACCATCCGTTGCAGACGCTTTCTATGCAGGCGAAACACAAAAACGATTGCGCGTCGATTGAGTTTTGAGCAGGCTTTCAAGGACGACATATGGTTCAAATAAGGTATCTCTCATCGCCACTGCACTGCTTTGGGACTAGTGAACGAAAAAAAATTATACAAGCATAATTTATTCGCAGGCGCTGTGCTCTACATAACACTTAATGTAACTAAAATATTCTGGTCGGAAAGCTACCAGTAATGGAATATATTCTGCAGCTATTTTTTATCACGCAATTATAAATACAAGCAAATTGTGGTACTTATTTCTACCCATACTCCCTCACGAATGTAACTGGCCCGCGTCAGTGGACACATGTGTATAAGACACTTCATTGTGGGGTATGGTATGACTCCCCAAATGCGCGGAATCGGTTTCTTCGAATGTTTTGCAGTGACAAGCTAACTTTTCAGGATATATAGAGACACGAGCAATCATGGATTACGGGTCACCCTCACGAAAGCCGTAAAGATGCATGAGTCACCTGTCACGTGGGGGACACTCGAACGGCTGGACGGTCGGTTCTGCGAGTGACAACTTTTGTTTGCACGCACAGGGATCATATGCGAGAATAAACAATTTAGTTCCTTGCGGAGCAGTCTCGAATTGTGTGCGCCACTTTGGCCACCTCTGAAATTAACAGCCAAAGCACTTGAGCTCTGTGAAAGCTGCTCTCTCAAAGCTGCCACAGGCGTCTGCTAGCCGTGTACTGAATATGAGAGGTATCCCTCAAGAATGATTCGTGATTGGGCCGTGGTATATTGGCCATCGCATTTTCGTGGCAATCATGCTGCGCGCGGTCGCCAACCAGCATATTTATGGCTGACAGGCCTGCTCCAGATCACACGCACGCAGATCGTTCAGCCAGTCGGTCACCAGAAAGTATCTGGGCCGAGACTGGCTCCCGGAACACAATCTCGCACCAACGAGCCTATAACTTGAAAGTCAAGTCACTCTTTGGGGCTTCTTTTGGGGCGAAACACCGACGCACAGGATCGTGCGTGGCGGCCTTTAAGGCGCGGCAAGGAACAGGCCCTATCGCTGAACGCCCCCTGAAACCTGACACGTCGTGCAGCACGACCCTGCAGGGCATGCTTCGGAATGGCCGCGGGCCTGGTGCTCGCGCGGACCTTCTGCGCTCCTCCCGCGCAGTGTCCCACGCCTCGGCTCACTCAGGGTCATTCCGAGAAAGGCCCGCATCTGGCTGCGGCGAGCACTCCCATAGTTTCCTGCGTTGGAGCTTTTCGCGGCGCAAAAAAATACGTAGGCGGCTTGTTGCCGCTAAAGAACTTGACTCCTCCAGTCAGTGGGCTTATTGACCATTCACACAGCCACTGGAGATGCCGGACCAGTAAAGAGAAGACGGGCTCTTTATGTATACGGTATACATCCCTCCTTCTGCCGCCACGAGCCGTTGGCTCGGTATGATCAGCGACTACCTCTAGCAGTTTCGATGTCGTAAAGGGCGCTGGTGGCGCTTTGCTAATAGTTATTCGGAACAGGCACCAACTAAATGACGGCATTCGCCTGCCTTGGCGTTTTCGTAAAAATAAGGATAGATATTAAGATTTTAGTGTTTAGCGTTTTTTTCTTGAACGCTTCATTGACACCGAAAGTCGTCTGCAATTTACAATTGTAGAAATCAAAACCGTTGGAGATCTGAATCACTGCGCACGTGTGTGTGGTTTCATTTATGGGACTAGTGATCCCATATCTTGAGGAGAAAACACTTGAGGTCCGGGCATACTTATAGGTGCACGTTGAAGAACCTCGGGTGGCCGAAAGTTCTGAAGTCCTCACTATGGCCTCTCTTATAATCATATGGCGCTTTTGGGACGTTAAACCCGGGTGTTATAATACTGTAGATGCAATTCCCCGTATGCGAATTTGCCGCTTATCATCAAGATTTTACCTTTTTTGTGAGATTAAATGTGGTTCGAAGAATCGAAAAGTAATGGCACGCAACTAAAATTCTCGCCAGGGCAAGTCTTGAATCAGTGGTATACATAGTTTCATTCGAGTTCGGCAAAGTGAATTCGAGTGATGAGCATTAAGACTTGTAAGCGATTAAAAGAACGCATATTTGCAGTGTTTAATACGTACAAATTGAGTACCGCTTCTAAAGCACTAGTTAGGTGGATATGTTTTCATGGAATGTCACCAGTACTCTGCGTTCCTATGAGAGCAAGAACTGGGCCACCACTTTTGACAATTTCGAAGCGCACTTGCATATAAGCTCCTTTCGACTGAATCCAATATTTTTTTATATTTATTTATTTATAGATACTGCAATCTTTCTTCAAGATCTCGGCAGCATGGTACATAACAGGTGAACTCAACAGTAAAATAACCATGGGAAACGAACAAATGAATATCTTTGTGGGAAAAAAAGGCAAGCGATGTTATTCTAACACATTTCAAATACAACATAGAATCCGTTAGCTCAAGTAAAAAAAAAAGCACATGACACATCTCAGCAAAACAAGGAAACTACTTGCTACTGGAGGTGTGACTCAAATTGCGATAGTGAGTCATGCGAAACAGTATTATCGGGCAGTTTGTTGCAATTGACTATTCTAGGAAAGAATTAAAGAGTACTTGAAACAGTTGACACGTGTAGTGAATAGAGTAGCAGCTATAGTGAGTGCGT